ACAGTGCTCGAATGTCTTCTTTCAATGTTCAAATGCATTGCACATATTCTTCAGTATGTTGATCTTGAGTCCAGTCTTTATCATAGTTTTTGTGAGCACCTATGTTTTCTTATGTGCAGCTTCCTTGCTCCTGGATAGCAGGCAAATATTACCAGCATAATCCCAGTCTTCTAACTATTCATTATGTTTCAGTGGGAATACCTCTTTGCTTACTTCATAACCAGGGATCCTAGTTTTCCTTGATAAAAAATTGCAAATTCTCTGATAAACCCCCCAAATTCATGATTAAAATAAAAGGCCCCCCTATGTCCCCCAGGCCCTGCTGGTGCCCCTCATTCCTTCCCCACAGCCTCCTGGTTCTGCTGTTGCCCCTCACTCCCTTCCCACAGCTCCCTGGCCCTACTGGTCCCCCTCACCCCCCCCAACTCCCCAGCCCTGCTCCTGCCCCTCACTCCCCGCCCCCACACACATACCCACCCCAGCCGGTGCCCCTTGCCCCCCACCCACATCTCCTACTCCCCCAGCCCTGCCGAAGGGAGCTCCCAGCTGCCAGGGCTATGATGCCAGGGACTCAGGTCCGCAGCCCCCTGCTCCTGGCAGAAGGAAACAGAAGTTGCTGCAGGGGAGCAGAGCCTGGCTCCCCTCCCCTCTTGTGCCATCCCAGCCCCCTGCCAGCTGGAACAGTCAGCCTGCAAAGGGATCTTCACAAAACTGCAAAATCCACGGGTTTCTCTGGTAAAATGAGAAATCTGTGTTTGCCTCTGGTAAAAGGTAAAATCCAGAAAATGTGGATCCCTGTTCATAACTTCTTAACTGATTGCCAAAATGGACAGCAGGATGAGAGAATGTGTCCATATTTTATTCCAGTATTCTCTGTGAAATGGTCAATATGTTGGTTGTCATACTTGTATTCAAAATTCTCATACTGCATTTTAACAACTTTTGTGATTTTCTTGTGGAATTCCACAATAATGCAAGAACTTCTATAATAATGTTACTGAATGCCTTCACAAAGCCCACAAAAATGGCAAAGACTGATGTTCACATTCAGCACTTTGATCTAATTCTTTTGCAAAAATCCTCCTTGCTCTTGACTTTATATTTTAAAATTTTTGCTTATCCTGCTTAAATGATGCAACTGAATGTTGTCTGTGATCAGCAGCAAGTTTATTCCTTCCCATTTTTTGCAGTTGCCTAAATCAGCTTTCCTTGGTAGTTTAACTATCTCTAGACTTCTGGTAGGTCTTCCTCATTCTAAATCTTGTTAGTAGTTACGGTCCATTTATTCTGCCTTTAACATATTTGAGCAAATACTATCCTCCTCGCATTCATTTCCATCGTATAGAGGTTCAACAGCTTTCTGTGCTAGCACTTCTGTAATTTTAGATAGAGAAACATTTAAATCTTGGTAGGTATCTACCGTTTCAAATTAATCTGGTCTATATAAGATGTTTTGAAGTGTTCTCACTTTTCTTATCCTTTCCATTTTATATCAATTTACTGGAAACTACAAGTTGCAGGTTGCAGTAGAGTGCCACTGTTTACAGGTTCTTGGTTTCACTAAAGTCTTTGCAACTACTGTGTCTTTTCCATTCATTGTTCTGCCAATCTCTGCATCATCTTAAAATGGTATAAGTTGTTATTTTACATTTGCATCCAGATCATTGTTGGGAAAGTTCATTAGTGTTAGGGTTAGTAACAACCCCTGTAGAATCCCATTAGAAATGCATCCATTTCTCACTGATGAATAAAAAATGTCAGCAGGCCAGTTCTTAACCTATATGCTTTGTCTTTATCTTTAACCTTCCCACCACTAGCTTGTTGCAAAGCTGACTGGGAAAGAAAAGTTGGGTATAGGATTACCTATGCAAATTCAAGGTGCAGCCCAGCCAGAGGTCTCACAGGACATACTGTTATTGAATAGCTATGCCTGTTTTGCTTTACATGCAGAACTTAAGGAGACCTAGTTCACTGTGCTATGTTCTAATGTGCATCACAGAAACAAGGACAGTATCACTCTCTGCTTCATTCCTGCAACAGCCTGGCCAACCTTTGCATATATCCATCTCTTTCTCAACATTGTCCTATCCCCAGTTCCAACAATTCTGTAGAATACCTAAACTAACTAAAGATACCATTCATAGCCACATCAGTTCATCCCAAAAATCTGCCTGCCACGATGCAAACTTTTTGACATCCAGAATTAATAGATTGACCAGTATGTAGTTATAAATATACCTAACCCTGATGGTATATTACACCAATATATTACTGGAGTCACAGCTAGCTTGTTGATGTATTAATGCAATATGTTAGGAGAGCACTAGCTCACTCCTATGATGTAGAGTCACAATATATATTGTAAGAGTGAAGTACTTTAGTGATGTATAATGTAAAAAGGGAAGCAATCTGAAGTAAATGAGATCAGAAGCAGATTTAGTTAACATAATCAGTTAAGGTTAAAACAGCAATTATAAACTAGTGCTTAGAAGAGGGAGGGTGGAGTGCATTGGCCAAAATTCCATTTCCCTGTGGTCAGTGGTCTATGGAGCAGCTGCCTTCTTTAGAGATGCTACATGTGCAGAACCGTCTTCCTCAAAAGAAATAGTTAAAACACTGGGCCTGAAACTCAGAGAAGCTGAGCAACAGTAGACTCTAAAACACTTCAATTTGGCTTCTTCCTGCTTGGTACTTGTTAATCATCAGACCTAGAGTTCTGATTTTTTAAAAATGAGAGATAAAAACAAAAATTATCTTGATAATGGCATATGACAACTATAACATTTTAAATAAGAGATTTTCTCTCTTTTCAGAGGGAGGCTTTTAATTATCTAGATGCTAAACAAAGAAAGGATTTAATCAGGGGCACAGATGCTCATCCAGAAATATCTACAGGGACCACATTAGATGCACCTTTTTGAGAAACACCTGAAACTAGAACAAGGCCGTAATCTTCATTGCAGAGATTTTAAAATCTTATGTATTGTTACTTTACTGCAATGAGATCAGAGTACATATTGCAGTAGTTCATAAAACTAGTTTCCCAAGCCTGCTTGTGTGTGACAATGCTTAGCATCTTAAACAGGGATAAAACCAAAAGCAGCTCATTTCAATGTGAAAGTTCATGCCAAGGGGAAAAGAAATGCAAAACCCTCCAAAAATGTATTTGTTTACTTATATGATAAAATAATTCTGATTTTTATAAACACACTAATACTTTCAGCTCGTATATCATGCATAAGTTTCAGAACAATCATAAAAAGAAAACTAAGAGATATGTTTTCTTAAAATTATGACAAATTTGATGTCGATTACATAATTTGAGTCTACTTTTTACAACATTTTACATGTATAATACATGATTCTGAACAGCAACTTACATTTTTTCAGAATTCAAGCAAATACAAAATAGCACATTTTAAACAGTATAAATAATTATATAATGCTTGGCTTTACTTTTCAAAGTGTTTAAAATCTGCCCAAAAGTTCTTAACAACCAAGATTATTTCGTCAACCTATGAATAAACTTCCAAATACTTTTATAATGAAGTCAGGAGTGATAAAGAGAGGCAACATCATATTTTGTGTGATAGAGTAACATTGTTAGTTGCAGTATTTTTGTCAACATTTCTGATAAATGTACACTTTGACAAAACATAATTGCACTGAAAAACATTTCTGGAAAATAAATGAAGCTATATTACTTAAGAAAAGTACTAAATAAGGATAACTACTGAAAGAAAGCTTCCCCCAATAGCAAAAGGCACAGAAATATGGTTTACGCAGTGCTTACCAAAACCACTGAATTAGATGTCTCTAAATTAAGATACAGAGTATTTAAGGAAGAAAAACAAAATTTCCAGCTGACAAGGCAGGTGAGTGATTTTTCTATTCAGTATAGTTTATAACCAATTCTATGAGTCATGAAGTGTTCTACTTGCTGCAGATCTTTTATTGAATGAAAGATGACTTTCAGGATTGGCTGCAAATGTATTTTTTCCTCTTACTGGGAAAAAGTCTGGCTGATCTTATGTATTCCCTTGCTTACTTAACAGTACAGGTGCCCAAAAACATAAATCTCTCAACTGAAATGACCCTTAACATCCACCTATCCAATTCAAAGAGAAAAAATGTTTTACCTTCTATTAATGCCTCCCTGTGTTCAGCCCAGGTCACTTCAACTAAGACCATCTCTGGTGCACATTTTGCTGTTTGGTGAATTCCTGACTTGACTGAATAGGAGTTGTACAAATGACCTCAGTGAGGCCAGAGTTTCATCCACTGTTTTTGAAGTTATATGGTATTGTTTGTGGTCTATTGCACTTTAACAAAATAAAACTTTCATTAATAAAATCAAATGAAAGGCTGAGAAAAGAAGAACAGCGATTAAAGTGATCTGGTGACTGCTTTTAAATCAAAAGTGATAATATATTGCAAATGAAGTTTTATATTTCAAAGAGTAAGTAGTAGCAGGAAAGGATGATGCTAGTTTTGATTCTAGACTCAAAATGTCCCTCTTTTCCATATGGTACTATGTCACTGAGCAGATGAGGAGCTCAGATAAGAATTTGTTGTAATATAATCTCTTGGTGCCCAATGTTCAAAACCAAATGTTTCTACCATGCATTATTCTTCTCAATTTTCACAACCGTTTTTATTAACTGTACAAAGAAGTACTATAGCTTCTTAACTACATCCAGCTCAAAAGTGGGGAAGGAGAGAGAGAGGGAAGCTTCTTTGCAATCTAATACTTGTGGCCTAAATTGAATGTCATTTTACATCTAGTAGTGCAGCTATTTTAAAAGTAACAAAATATATAATAGCCTGTAAAAGTGGCAGAAGATGAAATCTCTGCATTTTATCTTAGCAACAGATCACAGCCAAGTTAAATCCGCAAAGGAATATAGAAATAAGCACTACAGTAAA